GTTAAAGGTATTTTGGAGTCTGAAAGCTCAGCCACTATTCTGACTTTGCCATTAATTGTTGTATGACCTTGGGTAAGATATTTTCATTCATTTGCGAATTCATTCATTCATTCATTCATCAAAAAGTCTGTTTCCACATGGGTAAACCTGGTCAAATGAATCCTACACCTTCTACACAGAATTGTTCTGAGGAATAAATGAAATAATTCATGCAAAATGTTAGGCACAACTCTTGGCACTCTGTAAGCACTAAATAAATGTTGGCTATTATTGCTTTGACAGCTATTGAGTAGGACAATAAATAAACTGAATTCAACTGTAGAAAGTCCAGTACCATATTCCTCAGATATTAGGTTTGTCGATAATTATGGTGTTATCAAATCAGACACTATTATTCAGCAATCATTACTGACTCCTGACCATTCTTGCCCAACTTGTGCTCTTCTCTTCTAAAGGAACTCTCTCCCAGGGAAAAGCAATGTCATCTCAGGTATTCGATGTTTGCTTTGGGAACAGTTTTCTACAGATCCCAGAAAGGATGGAACCTGAGATAAGCCACTAGAGTACCCTGTTTCTTTCACTCCGTTAGGGGCCTAGGCCTTATGCGGGACGGAGAATGGGGAGGCACATAATGGGGCCACATAATCAAGCAACACAGATACAAATAAAGCCTCGCTGTGGTAAGAACGGACCAGACAAGTCTCCTCCAGGGAGAATGAAACCTGGACATTTAAGACCGAGGAACGCGGAGTCAGCGGGCAGGTGGGTGCAGAAGAGCCTTGGGCAGCTCTCCCAGAGCCCCAGCCCCGGGCCGGGGCGGGGGTGTGTCGGGATGCTCCCCCAGGGCCTAGGGCTGAGGCTGGCCCAGGCAGGCCGGGAGCCCCGCAGGCTCCCAGGAGGGGCTGAAGTGGGGGCAGAGGCGGACTAAGCCGTAGTCTTGGAATTGGTCAGGGAGGGTAAGGACGCTGAGGTCTCACCGCGAGCCGAGGGCAGTGGGTAGAGCTTCTCGGCCTTCTGCAGGAAGCGCTGGGCCTTCTCGCGGTTGCCGGCGTTCAGGGCCTCCCGGGCAATCTCGACACATTTCTCAGCCTCATCCCGGTTCCCCTCCATAGCTTGCTCCTTCCGTTTCCTCCGGCCGCGCAATGAGAGGCGGAAGCCGCCGCCGCCGCGGAGGAGGCGAGGCGGGTCCGGCTAGGGGCGTGCAGCGGAGAACGGGGAGGAGCGCCTGGGACCGCGGTAGCGGCGGCGACGGCCCGGGCGGACGGGCGGGCCTAGCAGCTCCGCCTCCTCACGGAGGCCTCCCCGCCCCCCGCGGGCCGCTAGGGCGCGAGCCTCATCCGTCCTGGCCCCGGACTGAGCTCCTGGGCCCCGGCGATCCAGCCGACTTGGTGGTCCGCGCCCGGCGCGGGCAGGCTGGAAGCTGACCTGCCTGGGAGGTGGGCGCTAGCAGCCGAGCTGCCAGTCGCGAGGAGGGGTTCCGCCAGGCCCGGGACCCGGCTGCGGGCGTTGAAAACGCCGTGCCCTGACCTCCGGGCGCAGCCCTAGCAGATGGAGCCAGGACGGGATGGGGGAAGGGGGACACCCGTTTTCAGGAAAATTCCTAGGTCTTGGAGGCCCGCCTCTGGGCCCCTGAGGCGAGGGAGGATGCGGCAAGGTGAGGACCACCGTCAGTAGTGTCAGCACTTCCGGGACACGTTCAAGTGTCGTTTGAACCCAATCTGGCTTGTATTACAGCCTTATTTCAGCTGCACGTTTTTTCTGACCCAGATGTCAGGCTATCTAAATAAGTTTAATTTTTAGCCTGCAATGAGTGTGCTGAGCGGCCCTAATCCTGTGTAGCCAAAACAAGGTAGGTATCAGCCCCTTAAGTGTTGCCCTAACTAAACTTTTGATTTCATCTTTTCTTTTCCATTTGGGTAATATTACCTCTTTGAAGTACCGTGTCATGTTAGTCTCCACAATGGGGGGAAATGTTTGCTATATGCAAATTTTCAACTAAAAAAAAATCGATAAACTGTCGAAAGGATTTGCTCAACCCAACCATAAGCTATCGATTTTTGCATAATGCTGTGAGCCGAGCTATTGTTAATCCTGCTAACTACTACCGTAACTCGATACTTTCAAATAGAAACCCTGCTTCTCTTCGATAAAATAGAGATAGTATATCCCCAGTGCTGTACTGAGCACTTAACAATTTCAAACTTCAAAGCAGGGCCTGGCACAAAGCACTATTATCTTCAAAGTTTAACTTCGTAGTTCCTTCTGTGGATATACAGGACATGCCTACTTATCCTCTCCCTCCCCAAGTCCACCACGCTGACAGCATACTGGTGTGCTGCTGTCACATAGCAAGCAAAGCCAATGTACAAACTGAAATGGTCACACTTAGCCTAAGAAACTAACAATCCCATTCAAGCTCCTGCCAACTTTTAAATTAAAAAACTTTAGTAGCTTATAAATACAACATTTAAAAATACATACTTGGGTTATTATCTCACTTTGTTGCTCTACAGATTTGACAGTTCAGTCATCACGAAATGTGCTTAGTTATTGCTGCTAGATGAGATTTTCAAAACACGTTCCTATGAACAATCAAACCAAGCAAATTTAAAACACAACTAGTTTGGGATATGACCTTTATTGAGCTTATCCACCAGAGTGGAAATAATGTCTGTACAAAACCAAATGTTTGTTACTATAACTTCTGCATCACAATTAAAATCCAAACAGTTTTTTAAAAACAGTCAACTCAATCAAAACCCACTACTTCAGAATCAATAGCTTCTTTGAAGCCACAGTAACACTTAAATATGGTTAAGACTCGAATGCAGAAATTTGGTTGGTTGGAAAGCTAATTAAACTTCCAACTTGCTCAAATAGAATTACAAAAAGGCAAAATTGTGTTTTTCACAGAGATACAGTCCACTGGAATCAACAACACTGGACAGCTGTTAGAGTATTTAGAGTCCTGAGATAACAAGGAATCCAGGCATCCTTTAGACAGTCTTCTGTTGTCCTTTCTTCCCAATCAGAGATTTGTGGATATGTGGAATGACACCTAGGAGAGTGACAGGAATTAATTCTACTTCAGATTTTTTTTAAATCACAGTATTTGAAACCAGTAACTGTTCAACTTGAACGCTATCTTTAAAAACGTGAAGCTCAAGTATGAAGTAAAAATTGAGTTATACATATAAATCAAATTTCATGATACCATACTTGCATAAATGAAAATTAATGTCCTCTTCCACAAAAACTAATAAAAAAATTAAAGCAGCAAAGAATTCCTTCCTCTGAATTGTTTAAAATTTTAGTAGTTACATACCACCACCAGCAATTGTAGCCTTGATGAGAGAATCCAACTCTTCATCTCCACGAATAGCAAGTTGCAAGTGACGAGGGGTAATACGCTTTACCTTTAAGTCTTTTGATGCATTTCCTGCCAGTTCCAGTACCTAGAAGGCAGAATCTATTATCAGCTCCCTTCCAACTTTCCTTTGGCCAAGATTCAGAGAACAGAATAAAACCCTCATGAACGTAGACCTACTAACTGGAGTCGTTCCCCACTATCTGACTGGCAAAGATATACAGGGGGCACGCAATTTTATTTCCAAGAACAGAGAACTCAAGCTCAGTAGGATCCTTGTTGAACACCAGCTCCCTCTAGTGTTCTCTTAGGCCCCCTGCGTTCAGGGCCTGGGAGTTTTCTTGCATCACTTTCCTCCTTCCCTCTCGCCGCCTCCCCGCCCCCAAAACCTTCTCCGGATTATAGGCGTTCACCCATTTACCTCTGCGGTGAGGTACTCCAGGATGGCTGCGCTGTACACAGCGGCAGTCGCGCCCACACGTCCATGACTGGTCGTCCTAGATTTCAGGTGTCGATGAATACGGCCCACTGGGAACTTAAATTTTAAGCACACACCAACATAAATACGCAAAAATATGAGAACTAGAGATGGGGAAATTATACGCGCGCAAAGGTAGCGGCACTGGCGCAGCAACGCGTCCCGACATCGAAACACGTGATTTCTCCCCCCCATATTTATCGTATGGGCAACCCAAGTCGCGACACCGCATCACCCACGCATACACAAAACGCCCAGCGAGAGCGATGATAAACAAGAAAGGAAATGCAAAGAAAACATCACGACTCCCAGACTGCACGAACAACTACTGACCTGCAAGCCGGCTCTCTGCGAGCGGGAAACCGCCTTTGTCTTGGCCTTTCCGGAGTCCTTCCCAGCCTTACCGCCAGCCTGCGGCGCGCACACGCCCGCGAGCGGAGGAGGAACGGAGAATATAGAATTACCAAGACGGCGCGCCCATCCCCCACCGCGGCGCGTCCCGGCGAGAGCGCGTCCCCGCACCCCGCCGGGGTCTCCGTCCCGCCGCGCGCCGCAGGGGCGACCCCGCCCGCCTGCCCGTCCCCCGCCGCGCGCTCGCCGCGGCCGCGCGCCTCCGCCTGCCCGCCGGCCCCCAGCGGCGCTGCGCGCGCCACCCAACGAACCGTCGCCGCCCGCCGCGAGATCCGAGGCTGCTCCCCTAGCAGCTGAAAAAACACCTCCCCCCGCTCTTTCTAAATCCTGTCTCCGCGCATTCCCAACCGTCGCCACTTCACCCCCATCCCCCTGTGTAACGGGTTTTTCTCCTGCCGGCAAAAACCCGCGGAGTCATCGAGCGTCTCTGCGAAGTTTACCATTTCGAATTCTGCTGAAGCTCAAGCAAGCAAGGCAGAGAAAGAGCTAATCAGACCCACGGCGAGATCCCACCACCTACTCCTCCGTCGCACCGCGATTCAAACTGCGCTGTCTCCCGCCTTCCCCGCTCCCTTTATACTGCAGAATGTTCCCTCATCCGGGAACTCGGATTGCTCATCCCACCAATGGCTGCCACCCGCCCTCGGGACGCGTCCTTGAGACCTCAGCCAATGAGCAAGCGAAGAAAAGGGCGGAGGGGCGGGCGCTTCTAAGCTGAAGCCGCGATTGGGGCGTGGAGAGCAAGGCGGGGGAGGGCGGAGGGATGGGAACGGAGGAGAAGAAGGGCACCGCGGCGGGAGGGAAGAAACAGAGCGAGCTACGCTGCGGGAGCGCAGTTACCAACCGGCCGCGGTCACGTGCATGGGAGGAAGAGCTGAGACCTCAGGGGAGGGGCGCGCGGTAGCGCCTCGAGTCCCCTAGTGGGGCTCCTGGGAGTAAGTGAAACCTCTTCGGGATTTAGCAGGCCGCCCCCACCACTCCCAGCCCCACCCCCAGCGCCTCTTGGGCGGAGACCTGCGGCCCGCAGCCGCCTTCCGGGACCCCAGGCACCCCCTCCTAACCCTCTCAATCCCTGGCAGTTCCTCCCGTCTGACAGGTGGCGCGAACGCGTCCAGTGAGAGTAGCGCGAGGTTTGCCCGGACCGTTCCACAGCCTTAGTAGAGATTCCGTGTTTCTTCCCTCCAGACGAGTCCCCAGCCACCGACAGATCACGACCCCGCTGCTCCCACTTTATTTTCAGCCGAGTCTTCCGCCTCTCCGTTCCTCACTACTTACGAAATCTCCCATGGAATGGTTCTGTGGCAACAAACGGTGAAGCCAAGTCACCTCGCTGTTCACAAAACCCTTTTTATCTCCACATAGGGAGTTTCTGGCAACGCAGTATTCTTAAAGCATAAAGTATATTTTTGGAGACTACACATCAATGGGTTGTACCTGTAGCCTGGTGTGTAAAGCTCATTTAGTGAAACCTCAAAGCTATTATGTGTCAACTTTTCTACAACAAATATTTTGCCACATGACAAATATTCGGCAAATATCGATGGAGTAACACTGACATGATTCACAGGCGGTTACAGAGGGTCCGTTCAATCAGTTGCAAATGATGAGGTTAAAATAATGGTACTGTGCACACAGTGCTCTCCTTCCAACTAGTAGATTAACACCTGTGTACATCTCCAGCTGCTTGGGGACAGTAGTGTCTCAATCTCATAGTATTTTAGTGTAAAACATTTTTAACATAATTGAATAGTTTCAATGTGAAGAACATTTCGAAACATATAATCTAAGGTACCTTAGATTGGGTTTCAATTTGAAAGATTTTATCGAGTTAGAGGACCTTTCAATTTCGGTGAGATAAATTCTAGAGAAGAGTTTCCCGACAATTTTGACATTGAGGATTATTATTTCTTCCCCTTAAAACCAAGGAACTCTTATGATGTCATCGATATCAAGAGTTCATCGGTTTGTTTTTGTTTGTTTTTTGAGTTGGAATCTCGTACTGTCGCCCGGACTGGAGGGCTTTGAAGAGATCTCAGCTCACTGCAACCTCCACCTCCTGGGTTCAAGCGAATCTTCTGCCTCAGCCTCCTGAGTAGCTGGGATTACAGGCACTGCCACAACGGCCGGCTGATTTTTTTGTATTTTTAATAGAGACGGAGTTACACTATGTTGGCCAGGCTGATCTCGAACTTCGGACCTCGTGATCCACCTACTTCGGCCTCCCAAAGTGCTGGGATTACTGGCATGAGCCAGCGCACCCAGCAATCAGTTTTCCTACTGGTGATATAATGATGATATATTAAACTATAAAGCCTATTATAATGTTTAACGATGACTCCAGGAAAGCTTTGTGATATATAACAAACCAACATTAATACCCTCTAGTTTGGATAATACTCTGCCAACTCTGCTATGAAGCTCAACGAAAGGAATTTATTGTTGCCTCTCTCTATAGCGATTAGGAGGATGAACTCAGAAGCAAGTAGAGATGGATTCTGTTCTGCCTCCTCCTCACTGTGTCATGTTAGTTACTAATCTTTAGGAACTTCGAGTTCCTTTTCTGTGAGAAGATATATCATGGTTGAAAGATTAAGGGAAAAGATATGCAGTGTAGATGGTAGCATGTGTTTGGCATGTATAAGCCCTCAGTAAATAACTGCTAGTATTTTCTACATTGGATGCTGGAGAGGGATGAAATAAACTATCTTTTATTCCTGAATCTTTTTTGCTGTCTGGTATACTTTCTTTGATGCGGAAGGAGCAAGCCTGAAATCTGCCCAAAGTTTACACAACCAAGTCATCCAACATCCAAACTAAAATCCAAAATTGGTTTAATAACTCAATAGTTTTCCTTCAGAGAACAGGACAGTATTAGTTACTGCACTTTTCGAAGAGTGGTGTGATGATTTCCCGCTCCCTTTCCTGCCCCCTGGAAAAGATAAGATGCAAATATATTAATATTCTTGGTTTATCTTTCCAGTACTTGGGTTAATAGTAATACATGTATATAATCTACCTAGCAAGAGCTATCTTATTATTTTTATTTAATGGCATACCCAATTAGTTCTCTTGTCATAAAAAATAGGGGATGCCAAGGCAAGAGGATTGCTTCAGCCCAGGTGTTCAAGACCAGCCTGGGCAACATAGTGAAACCCCATCTCTGCTAAAAAATACAAAAATTAGCCAGGCATGACGGCCCCTGCTTGTGGTCCCATCTACTAGGTGGCTGAGGTGAGAGGACCACTTGAGCCCAGGAGGCTGAGGTTGCAGTGAACCATGATCACACCACTAAATTTCAGCCTGTGTGGTAAACTGAGACCCTGTCTCAAAAAAAACAACAAAAAATTCCTAATATGAGGTAGATTAACCCATTATTATTGACTCTTTGCTTAATAGCCTTTCCTAAGCCAGATTTTCCATGACTAGTTACTATCTCCTTTGAAACACTAGCATGTATGTTAAGTGTTGTTCTTGTCTTTTTATGTGGAGAATTAGAGAGTCTTACAATTGGGAATTACAAACTTCTCAACTACATCTTGCTTTAAAAACCTACTTTTTAAGAAAATATGAATAAATTCCGCAGTTATTTCCAAGGATATTAGCCTAGATAAATAATGGCGAAATTCTTCTCATCAGGATATCCACGTTAGAATCTTGGTTCCCTTAACCTAGGGCATCTAGGCAAAATATAACCCTTCAAGGACTTACACAGCTGTCAATAACTGAGTTCCAGTGCGGTATTATACAAAATATTGACCTAGAGTAAAAATTAGGATTGACTTCGGGAGGCCGAGGCGGGTGGATCATGAGGTCAAGAGATCGCGACCATCCTGGTCAACATGGTGAAACCCCGTCTCTACTCAAAATACAAAAAAAAATTAGCTGGGCATGGTGGCGCGTGCCTGTAATCCCAGCTACTCAGGAGGCTGAAGCAGGAGAATTGCCTGAACCCAGGAGGTGGAGGTTGCGGTGAGCCGAGATCACGCTATTGCACTCCAGCCTGGGTAACAAGAGCAAAACTCCGTCTCAAAAAAAAAAAAAAAGAATTAGGATTGAGTCTGGGTAGCCACTTACTTGCTATATGGCCTAAAGTATGTTAAACAGTTTCCTAATTTATTAAATAGGGATTCATAACACCATATAAACCAACTTGATAAACTTCTGAAAGCGTTTCATGAAGTGTGAAAGAAAATGTAAAGTGATGTAACAATATTTTTGACACTAAGGCCATAGTCCTTTCTGAATTGTTTAGGTTGAGAAGCCAGTGTGTTTAATTCAGTGCTGATGAAACCAAAGCCATCAATTTAAATTCCGAATTTCCCAGCTTCGCACTTCTCATGATCACAGATTGCACACAGGTAACAATTCGCAAATGCAGGGAATAGATTACAAAGATCAGCAGAATCTACTCAACCCAGATCAACTGCCATTTCAGGAAAAACAAAGTTCATGAGACCCGATACCCCTTTTAATATAGCAATAATTTGCTTTTTTCATGTGTTAGTCCTCAGAATTTTTGGATATTTACTGTTTTAAATTTTAAAAATCAAGATTCTTACCATATCATTTTATTATCTATTGTTGACATCGATATTGATCTTTATGGTTTTCAGGGCAGGGAGAGGGGTCCACGTATTGAAATTGTTTTCCTAAACAATAGTGTATTTGCCTATGTAGTTGATCGTCTTCTCTGCATCCCTGTGTTCTGCAACTGTGGATTCAACTAACCGAAGATCAAAAATATTCACAACCTAAACTGGGTGTTCTCAGGCAGGTGGCTCACGCATGTAATCTCATCACTTTGGGAAGCCGAGGCAGGTGGATTACTTGAGGCCAGGAGTTTAAGATCAGCCTGGCCAACATGGCGAAACCCTGTCTCTACTAAAAATATAAAAATCAGCATGGTGTGGTGGCGTGCACCTGTAATCCCAGCTATTCGGGAGGCTGAGGCATGAGAGTTACTTGAACTCGAAGGCAGAGGCTGCAGTGAACAGAGATCGTGCCACTGCACTCCAGTCTGGGTGAAGAATGAGACTCGGTCTCAAGAAAAGAAAAAAATTATAATAATGAGCTACTTTTAGGGTGCGGTAGTTCATGTCTGTAATCTCAACAATTTGGGAGGCTGAGGTGAAAGGATCACATGAAGCCATGAATTCAAGATCAACCTGGGCAACATAGCAAGGCCCTGTCTCTAATTTTTTTTTTTTCAATTAACTGGGTATGGTGGTACACACCTGTACTCCCAGCTACTAGGGAGCCTGAGGCAGGAGAATCCCTTGAGCCTAGAAGTTCAAGGCTGCAGTAAGCCATGATCATGCTACTGCATTCCAGCCTGGGTGACAAAGCAAGATCCTGACTTTCTCTATCTCTCTCTCTTTTAAAATTTTAAAAATTATGGTTACATCTGTACTATACATATACAGATTATTTTTCTTGTTATTCCCTAAACCATATAGTGTACCAACTATTTACATAGCATTGGCATTGTATTAGGTATTATAAGCAATCTAGAGATGATTTAAAGCATACAATGTGCATAGGTTATATGCAAATACTACTATGCCATTTTATGGAAGGGGTTGAGCATTCGTGGATTTGGGTATCCAGGCGGTAGGGGGTAGGGACAGATCCTAGAACCAATCCTCCACAGATACAGAGGGATGATTGTATTAGTATTTTGTGACACATGTCTCCACAGCTAAATTGTGAATACACACAGTAATGCCCCATTGCATGTTTCTAATATAGTGACCAAGGAAAATGTTTTAGAGATTTAACACAGTTTTATTACTGAAATGTCCTCTTTTGTCTGTATATATGCAACTGAGATGGAAGGCAATACCATACATCATACAGCACGATACATAACCATTCCCTAATAATAGAATATATGATAGTTCTAGATTGGTGCTGTCAGCCTGTTAGGTAAAATGGAGCATAGCCATCAAGTCATTCGACTTTCCAGGCAATATGCCAAGCAATAGCAGTTGGGAGATGGGATATATAGTGCTTAGGAGCTTCCCTCAATCTAGCTAAGAAGATTAAACAGGGAGGAAAATTCGAGCAATACCTTAATCATTAGGACCACATTAAGAAGGCTGTTACGGGCTGGGCGTAACAGTTTACATCTGTAATTCAATCAATTTGGGAGGCCAATTTGGGTGGATAACTTGAGGCCAGGAGTTTGAGACCAGCCTGGCCAACATGGCAAAACTCTGTCTCTACTAAAAATACAAAAATTAACTGAGGTGGTGCACGCCTGTAGTCTAACTACTTGGGAGACGGAGGCATGAGAACTGCTTGAAGCCAGGAGGTGAAGGTTCCAGTGAATGGAGATCGTGCCACTGTATGCCAGCCTGGGTGACAGAGATTGTCTCAAAAAAAAAAAAAAGAAGGCTGTTACAGAACAAGTACCTGATTGACTGTCAAATCAATAGTGTCTCTAGTTTAAAGGACAGAGACAACTGCAGGCTGGAGTGTTTTGAAGAGTTTATTTTTAAATGGACTAAAAAGGGCATTTGACTGGAATGGTGAATTGGTGTAAGAAGTAGCAGTTAGAAGGTAGGTATGGAAGAGATTTCTTTTTATAATCATATATCCATTTTCCTATCAACCTCAGTCACAAAACTTCCAATTTTTAGCTGGACACGTAGTGTTTTAGTCTGGTTTGTGCTACTTTGATGAAATACCCAAGACTGCATAGTTTATAAAGAACAGAAATTTATTTCTCAGAGTTCTGAGGTCTGGGAAGTCTAAGATCAAAGCACCGGCAGGTTTGGCTGTCTGGTGAGGGCTACTGTCTCCTTCAAAGATGGATGCTTGATGCTGTATCTTCTAGAATGGAGAACACTGTATCCTTACGTTGTGGAAGGCACAGAAAGTGGAAAAGGGATGAACTGTATCCATGAAGCCCTTTTATGAGGGTGGTCCCATGACTCAATCTCCTCCCAATGTCCATACCTGCCAACATTTTTGCATTGTGAACTGAATTATAACATATTTTTGAAGGGGACAAAAACATTCTAACCACAGCTAATGTTCATCAGAATAAAGCTAAATTTGTTCTTGAAAATAAGTTTTGACCAAAAGGTGTAAACTGCAGTCGTAAGTGCAACACCCAGGAAGTTTCCTTAAATAAGGCAAACCAATTTCTCATTTTTGCTGACTGGATTGAAGACAGAATTGGAGAGCCATCTTGAACCATGAAATGAATTTAGGAATATAGGCCACATATAAGGGAATAACAAGATAAATGGAGCAAGGGTATTTGATACTATGGAGTATCAAACCTACCCTGGATCTCTCTGAACATGGACAGCTGTTTTGTTTGAGCCCCTTTTATTTTGGGTCGTGTCACTTGCGGCCAAACCCAATCCTATTACAGTAAGTCCATCTCCTAAATACTTGGAGAAAGATAGCAGGCTTTACTCTGAAAGACTGAGAAACCAGTTAATATTTCTGAGAAAGAAAGAATACAGGGCTCCTCATTTTTAGGATACTAATCTAATATAGGTTACAGGGCAAATCAGAAAAGAGAAAATTTTTGTTGGAAGGCTGATAAAGTTGATGTCACTTAGGTATAAAGCCTATGATATGGTTTGGCTGTGTCCCCACCCAAATCTCATCTTGAATTCCCATGTGTTATGGGAGGGGCCAGATGGACAGTAACTGAATCATGGGGTGCAAGCCTTTCCTGTGCTGTTCTCATGATAATAAATA